TTCCATTCAATCCTCTCTCTTTCCCATCCTTCCTTCCTTTCTTGTTTCCTTCCTTCCTTCCTTCCTTCCTTCCTCCCTTCCTCCCTGCTCCCTCCCTCCCGCCCTCTTTCCCATTTCCTTCCTTCCTTCCTTCCTTCCTTCCTTCCTTCCTTCCTTCCTTCCTTCCTTCCTTCCTTCCTTCTTTCCATATGTGGACATAGATTAAAAAAAGGATGGTTTTACAAGGGTGGAAAGTTACATAGAATGTATTTTTCATTTAATTATCAAATTTAGAAATACATGGTACATAGGCAATATGTATATATGTATGTATGTATGTATGTATGTATGTATTAATCCTGGCCAAGTGAAGGAGTTATGAGAGGTACTTTTACATGGCTAGATACAACTGCTGAATTCCTGGAAAATTTCATAACGGATTATGATAAATTGGCCACTGATTTTAAAACAAACAACACAAATCTGTTATTTTATGTAACTTCTTAGAATTTTGAACAATTCATTCAACAGATGTCAGATATTGGAAAGAAAGGGCCCCTTGACAGTTATGTTATAATTAAACTTTTACAGCTCTTTGTTCTTGCCCCTGAAGCTTTTTGTGCTAATCATTCAATTTGGTTTAAGTGTATCCAAATTGGAAAACTATTCCTTGTATAACCTTGCTTGCATCTCTTTTTCTCTTTGTCTTGGAAAAAAAAAATTGATTGTTGATTTCTTGAGGCAAGTTTTGTTCTTTGTAAAGGACAGCTTGCTTATCTAAACATAATACTGAATTTTGTTTTAATTATATAATAACAATTACAATAATAGTACATTTACTCTGGTGTTGAGGTGGCCAATCTCATTTTATCTATCAGTTTGTCTATCATCTCCCTTCCTCCCTCCCTCCCTCCATCCCATCCCATCTCATCCCATCCCATCTACCTACCTACCTACCTACCTACCAATTATCTATCTATCTATCTATCTATCTATCTATCTATCTATCTATCTATCTATCTATCTATCTATCATCTATCTATCTATCTCGCTGCATCCATCTATCCACCCACTCATCCATTCGTGATCTATCTATCTATCTATCTATCTATCTATCTATCTATCTATCTATCTATCTATCCACCCATCCATCCATCCATCCATCTATCTATATCTATCTATCTGTCTATCTATCTGTCTATCATCTATCTATCTATCTCACTGCATCCATCTATCCACCCACATCCATTCGTGATCTATCTATCTATCTATCTATCTATCTATCTATCCATCCATCCATCCATCCATCCATCCATCCATCCACCCACCCACCCATCCACCCGCCTGTCTGTCTGTCTGTTTGTCCGTCCGTCCGTCCATCCATCCATCCATCCATCTATCTATCCATCCATCTATCTATCTATCATATTTCTGAGTCACCCATCTCCCTCAAAGAGGCACTCATCCCAATACATGTAGTCTTTGACTTATGACCACAATTGAGCCTAAAATTTCTGTTGCTAAATGAGATATTTATTAAGTGAGTTGCGCCCCATTTCTTGCCACAGCTGTTAAGTGAATCGCTGCAGTTGTTAAGTTAGTAACCCAGTTGTTAAGTGAGTCTGGCTTCCCCCATTGACTTTGCTTGTCAGAAGGTCGCAAAAGGGGATCACGTGACCCCGGGACGCTGCAACCGTCGTAAGTACATGCCAGTTGCCTAGCTTCTGGATTTTGATCACGTGACCCTGGGGATGCTGCAATGGTCATAAGTGTGAAAAGCACTTTTTTCAGTGCCGTTCTAACTTTGAACGGTCACCAAGCAAACCGTTGTAAGATGAGGACTAGGGAACCATCCAATGAAATTCTAGTTTTCCATTTTAGCGGGGAAATGAAATGTTCTATTCCTAATAGATTCGGAAGGCACCAGATTGGAGAAAGCTGTTGTGGTCAATAAGCCGGACCTACTACATCTGAGCTGCAAAAATTTATATGACCAATAATGTTAGAAAAGAGCTAATTTTTTTCCCTAGAGCAGGATGTTACCATCTAGCAGTGAAATGGGCAGAAAATAACCTTGAACAGGAGGAAGAGTTGCCACCGAGGCAACAGTCAGATAAAAGAAACCTAAGCCTGGAGTAGACCTGTAATTTGAGAAAGTGTCTCAGATATAACGCTCCCCACTTCTCGTGAAATAGAGAGATGGTGGTGGTGGGAGCACCTTCAGACATCTCTTACTATAATCTCATAGTAAAAAAATAGTACCAGCTTGTGTGTTTTTAGTTTTCAAGTTTGGTCTACCTCCGAAGGCTGACCAGTAGTCATCCAGATGTTTGCAGCCCAGATCAAGATACAAGATTCAGCTCCACAGCTTAGATACTAATGGAAATCTCTCTGTGAAACTATAGATTTATTTTCATCCTGTCTTGCAATTCGGAGGTGTGGTACATGGGAAGGGAAGGGCCACATCTCCCATTCTGCCTGATCTTTTCTTCCTTAACTCTTAGACCTACAGAGCATAACTATCTTTGCAGGAACCAGGGAGCAGAGTGATATTTTCAGCACCAACCCTCCTGCCAACATGGCCTTTGGCCAACACGGTCCTAAGAGTGTTTACTTAAACGCTCCAATAATTTCAGTCAGCCTTCTTTTCTCCTACAAGTGTGTAGTGAGAATTGTAGGACCAAATCTTATCTCAGCCTCCTTGTCCTCCACCATAGTCTTTCCAACAGGAGTTGTTCTCCTACTATGACATTTTTCCCCCAGTACATAGATAAGAGCCAATTGTTTTGAAGGACGTCCAGTTCCCAAAAATCTAATTTGCCATAGATGATGATCAAAGTTCTCATCTATGCCGTCAGGCCTTTCTTCATAACCATTTGACTAAATCAGTTTGCACACTGTTGACTTAAACTCCAGCCAGTTCAAATAATTCATCCCATGGGAAAAGGAGTTTAAAGTAGTTTGAGCTGGCCTATCCTTTACTAGCAAAATAATATTTGATTTACTAGCTGTCAGCTTTCATCAAATCTGTGCATTATATTTGACTATACTGTGAAGCCAAATTCAAATAAAGAGCAAGGGAATGGGTGAAATCAGCAAAGAGCATAGCTTAACTTGAATTGGCTCACAGTTAGGAATTAAATCAATAATCAGCTATAACAAGTACAGAGAAGAGCAATATTTTGTTAAGAGACGGCTGGGGGAATTACTCTGTAATTAGCTTTTAAAAATGTTTTTGTTGGTTTAGACCCATGTTTTTCTGGTTGTTGATATTTGGGGCCCACTGTTCTTTCAGATTAAGGCAAAAGATACCACTCCTCGAATTAAAAAAATACCGTTAAAAGACGTGTCTATGCAACTGATGAGAAAAAGAAGGCCATTGATTGGACCACAACTTACTGACTAATTATATTAATTAAATAAACAAATGGGATATTGAATATATGGCAGGAGTTGGATTCCTAAATGAAATAAAAAATAATTCTTTTAAACTTAACGGTTATATATTTATTTAGATAGATTGACATGGCCATCCAGTTTGCATGCTTCATCCGATCTGGTGAAATAATTCAGTTTCATGAAATTTGGGTGATTCTGTACAAGGCTTGCAAAACTTCAGGTGAGGGATGATATTGTGTGAGAACACAGAGACAAAAATCACAGAGAATACCTTTCCTTCATCAACTCTTCAGACCGTCGAGAAGCTGTCCCATAGCTAGAGATTTCCCACTTTTCCCAAAGAGTAGGAGCGATTCAGAACTTTGGAGAAGGTTGAAGATTCAGAACTTCAGTGAGCCAGTGGCACAATGGTTAGAATGTAGTATTGCAGACTAATTTTGCTGACTGCCAGGAGTTCAGTTCTCACTGGCTCAAAGTTGACTCAGCCTTCCCTCCTTCCAAGGTTGGTAAAATGAGAACCCAGATTGTTGGGGGCAATAGGCTCACTTTATAAACCACTTAGAGAGGGCTGTAAAACACTATGAAGTGGTATATAAGTCTAAGTGCTAAATGCTGTTGCTATTGGAGGCTAACTCTGCCTCCTGCCAGGAGTTCGATGCTGACCGGCTCAAGGTTGACTCAGCCTTCCATCCTTCTGAGGTGGGTAAAATGAGGATCCAGATTGTTGGGGGCAAATATGCTGACTCTGTAAACCGCTTAGAAAGGGCTGTAAAGCACTGTGAAGCGGTATATAAGTCTTAAGCGCTATTGCTATTTCAGAGTTTGGGAACTAGTTTGGGCATGATGACATCACCTAATCCTTCTTCATCTTTGGTAGCTGTTTTAGAAACGATGAGGCAATAAGTACTAATGGCTGAGTTAATCTTTAGTCTTCATCCTTTCTTCTTTAGTTTCATATCCTTTAAAATTATAGGCCTGTCTGGTTATTAATTCTATGTAAGCTGCTGTGCACATTCTCTTCCAACATGAGGCTTTAATAAATAATCATCATAATAATAATAAAAGTTGGAAGGGTCCTTGGAGGTCATCTAGTCCAACCCCCTGCTCAGGCAGGAAGCCCTATACCATTTCAAACAAATGGCTGTCCAGTCTCTTCTTTAAAAGATCCAGTGTTGGAGCATTCATAGCTTCTGGAGGCAGGCTGTTCCACTGGTTAATTGTCCTCACTGTCAGGAAGTTTCTCCTTAGTTCTAGGTTGCTTCTCTCCTTGCTTAGTTTCCACCCGTTGCTTCTTGTCCTGCCTTCAGGCGCTTTGGAGAAGAGCTTGACTCCCTTTTCTTTGGGGCAGCCCCTGAGATACTGGAACATTGCTCTCATGTCACCCCTCGTCCTTCTCTTCATTGAGAAGACATTTGACAAACTTTGGCTAGATTCAGCAAGAAAAAGTCATATCCTTGGGGAAGGAGCTATTCATCTTTTTCTCTGCCTTGCAAAATCCATGACTGTCTAGGCATCCTATCTGTGGGAGTTGATCTCCCTGCTGTGAAAAGCCAACTAAGGATTTTCAAAATAAGCCGGTTTTCTGGATTCCTGAATTGCTTCTCTTTCTCTTGTGCTTCCAGACTTCAAGAATCACCCAGCCAAGTGAAGATAAAGAAGGTGGTTGGGATGCCTGGGGAGCGTGGAGTGATTGCTCACGGACCTGTGGAGGAGGTGCCTCCTATTCACTACGGAGATGTTTAAATGGCAGGTTGGTCATTCAAAATTCCAGATCCTAAAGTTGGATGCAGGAGTCTCTCAGCACTAGAAATTGGGGCGGCTTGCGTTAAGTGTATCTCCATGAGGGAACAATTTAAATACAAGCAAATAAGAACTTTTAAAACATCAAAATAGGGTGCCAAGGGCTTAATGTGGAAATCTACCGATAGGTAGGTGGGTCATTGGGTTTTCAGAAGGTATAACAAAATAACAATGTTGGAAGGGACCTTGGAGGTCATCGAGTCCAACCCCCTGCTCAGGCAGGAACCCTATACCATTTCAGACAAATGGCTGTCCAGTCTCTTCTTAAAAACTTCCAGTATTGAAGCATTCACAGCTTCTGGAGGCAGGTTGTTCCACTGATTAATTGTTCTCACTGTCAGGAAGTTTCTCCTAAGTTCCAGGTTGCTTCTCTCCTTGATTAGTTTCCATCCGTCACTTCTTGTCCTGCCTTCAGGCACCTTGGAAAATAGCTTGACTCCCTCTTCTTTGTGGCAGCCCCTGAGATACTAGAACGCTGCTATCCTGTCCCCCCTCATCCTTCTCTTCGTTAAACTAGACATACCCAATTCCAGCAATTGTTCTTTATATGTTTTAGCATCCACCATCTTTGTTGCATTCAGTGGTAGAGAGAGATGACTTAACCCTGCTTTTTTTCTTTGTTGTTCACAGGCTCCCAATCCATTGCCCACTTGGGCTTTCTAGGTTGATCTCTGCATTGAATAAGATCTAGTAATAGTAGTAAAGTTGGAAAGGACCTTGGAGGTCATCTAGTCCAACCCCCTGCTCAGGCAGGAAACCCTACACCATTTCGGGCAAATGGCTGTCCAGTCACTTCTTAAAACCTTCCAGTGTTGCAGCATTTACTGCTTCTGGAGGCAGGTTGTTCCACTGATTAATTGTTCTCACTGTCAGGAAGTTTCTCCTTAGTTCTAGGTTGCTTCTCTCCTTGATTATCTGAATATCTGCTCATAAATAGCCTTCTCTGTTACTTTGCAGGCTTCTGCTAGGGAGTCCTGTACAATCTTGTGCATGGTGTTTCAGAATTCACTTAATAGGTTGAGATGTTCCACAGCTGTAAAATCATTAGGGGAAAATTTAACTTCCTTCATGGGACTGTTATGTTAACCCATCATCCTCTTAAACACAATTAAATGTGAGATGTGTATACTGTGTATGTGTGTGTGTGTATCAAATATAATAATAATTTTACAGCCTTCTCTTTCAATGAGACTTCTGTAGAATAACTTCACTCAAGCTTTATTTTTCTTGTCTTTCAGAAACTGTGAAGGCAGAAATATCCGCTATAAAACCTGCAGCAATCATGTAAGTCTGATCGCTAATTTTGTTTGACTGTTCTTGCTTTCCCAGATCAAACAGCTTTAAAGTTCTGGCAACTTGCCTTCTTTTGTTAAACTAAAAGAAGGGGGAAAACAGGGGAGGATCAGAGTCCGGAATATTTATTTTCCCTCCTAACAGCGAGATTAAATGTTCAGAAGTTAAATACTTGTGCAATGTATAGGAAAAATACATAGCTCTTCAGATTGTGAAGTTAGTAGCGAAGTATTAATTTTAATTTTGAGGGAGATTTGAAGTGGATTGATTTAAATCAGTGGTTCCCATTTTTTTTAATGCCGCGACCCCTCCCCAACCGGTCGTAAGTCGAGGACTACTCAACCGGTCGTAAGTCGAGGACTATTCAACTGGTGCAGCACCGTTTGCAGAATGGGACTTTTGGCGGGCTCAGCAGGGCAGAGACAGCCTGGACAATTCCTATTGGCTTTTGAAAGCCAATAGAATTAGACTCTATTCAAGAGAGTCTATTCTATTGGCTTTCGAAAGCCAATAGAATACAAGGGAGTAGCACAGCTAAGGAAAAGGGGAAAAAATGGCGGACTGCGTTGTTTGGCAACCCCCGTGAAATGGTCGTTCGACCCCAAATGGGGTCCCGACCCACAGGTTGAGAACCACTGATTTAAATGGATTGATTCAAATTTAGAAATTTATAGGGAGTTGAATTGGATGACCATATATAGATACATAGAATCATAAGGTTGGAAGAGACTTGGAAATTGTTCTAGTCCAGGGGTAGACAACTTTTTTCAGTGCCATTTTAACTTTGAACGGTCACTGAATGAACTGTTGTACGTCAAGGACTACCTATAGTTATTGCCTGAAAAAGAGAGAGGTGCAAATAATAGCCTTTTCATCATATAGCTTGTTTTGACTTTGAGTTCTCTTCCGTTGAGTTTTGGACATCGCAACCTGAGATGAGTCCAAGTCCATTGCTTCAGGCATCCAAGTAACATCTCTAACAGGCACTTTGAAGGGAAAAGGGTTAGATAACATGCCAAGGATGGAAACTCTAGTTCCTCGTTTCTTTGTTGAGCAACTATTTGTACAATTTTTTTTGATGTACTCCAATTTTCCTGATCCATAAACACACATTCTAGTATTTTCTTCTTTGCATTTTATCAATGTAATTGGTTTGGGTTCCTTTTTTCACATTGTGTAAGATCTATAATGAGTGTTTGCGTACAGCTTCTCTTTTTGGAGCAAAACTCTTGTTTTTGTCAAAGATCTGGAAACAATCTCCAAGCTTTTTGTAAGTGCAATTCGTAAAATAAGCTGGCTGCAGTTATCTTGTCATCCGACGCAACGTTGTTTCCTGGAGGCTCTGTGGATTGTCTCTCGCATCTTTCCCCAAATTTTTGGTGCTGGTGGATATACGTTTCTTTCTTTGCTGTTAACCTCCTTTGCTGTTGCGTGTTTCCATGGAAAGGTCTAAAGCCAAAATGTGCACAGAATCAGAGAGTCAGAATTGAGGCCGGTGCCAAAGGAGGAATCCAGAGTCAGAACCAGGAATGTGTGCTTGATTGAAGCTTGAAGGACAAGAAAATGTGGGTCTCATAACCAAGTTGTAGACATTTTATTTGCTGTTATTTGCCCTGTAGCTAATTCTTCTATCTTAGGAAAGTTTCAACCAGCTGATTTCCCCATGACACAGCTGTATACAGGTCGTTCTCATTTAACAACCGTTTTTGAAGCGTTGGAATTTATGACAGTGATGAAAATGAAACTTTACAGCCAACTTTTGCATTGACCACCATCGCAGGTCTATAAAGAAAAAGAAAGCTGAAGTAAGAACTTAAGTATAGTCATGGCTTCATTTAACAACTTCCAACTTAACAACCAAGTGGCCAATCCCAATTCTGGTTGCTAAATGAGGACTACCTGTACTATCTTTGCATTCAAGAAGTGATAATCAACTTCATCAAGACAACACAAGGCTTGTTAGTTTCCCCCCCCCACCCCAATACTTTGAATTGCTCCAATTTTCTCCACCCTTCCTTGGATGAATTTTATGAGGCTTGAGCCACATAACAAATTTCTGTCATTAATTTCAGGAACACACCCATGGGTGACTCAAGTCCAACGCATAGTGGGAAGTATCTAGAATATTCACTATAATTTGCATCTGACACTCTTTGAATGTGCATTTTAAAATGCATAAGACTTGTCGCCTGACTCAAACCAAGTGATGGCAGTGCACAGTCAATTGTGTATATTTATTTGTGATTTAAGTCAAAATTGCATGACTGATTCAGCCTGAATGCTTCCTTTGGCCTCAGCTATTATGCTGGATTCGGTGCACTGCAAAATTAATTTCTCCTCCATATCTTCTTTAATTGGGCTTTGCTCAGATGCTACATTTAGACAAACTACCACTTATTACAGTGTGCGTGGCGAGGTTTTGTGTAGCAGCATGTTAAGATTGGTCAAAATTTGACAGCTCAGATGCCTGCTACCTTGGTGTATTTCATGTAACTTTACATATTATCTCATTTATAGTCTGGACTTAGATTGCTTCTCTTTTTATTTCATTCACTTGCCCCTGTCAATCTATTTCATAAGTGTATTTTAATTTTGCTTTACCAGATTTGTCAGCTAGAGTATTTTATAGTTGCTGACAGATCACTTATGAATATATTTCTTGTATTGATCTGAGGACATAATAAAAGGCTGACTGAACCCATTCTGTTCACCTGCATACTACTATTTGCTTGAAGATATTTTTAATCTGTCTCCCAGGACAACAATCTACACAAGCTGTTCCTTGTAAACTGTGACATTTTTTCAGTCTTCCTTAAGCCCCATGTTTTGTGTTTCCATTTCTGTTACATTCTGATGCTATAATTTGCACATGGAAGTGTTTAAGATAATCCTTATGGGTCCTATTCATTGGAAGGGGAAAAAACTTGTTTAGACCATTTCCACATAAATTGCATGTTTTTCTATGTGAAGAAGCCAGCTGTGTTCTTGCCAACATGATTTGGCTTCCATGTGTAATTTTAGGGTCCTGGCAGCATATAAATATGAGCAATTAATTGCTTGTGTGCATATATCTATGTACATATGTATCTCTATCTATCTGGAGAAAACATGGCTGCAATAGAAACACAACATAAGCCCTCATTTATTTATGCTCCTGGTTATTAGTATGGATCTGAAATTGGCACCACCCTTTCATGTTCCCACAATGCCGCGGAGCTTCTAGAAGCTTGACTGTGATGGAATAGTGTCATGGAACCACCCCTGGATTAGATGTGAGTTCTGAGGAGCAGGGTGAATTGAGTCGGCAGAGGAAAGTGTGGAGCTGAGTGTCGGTCAGGACACTCAGAGAATGCTAGCCTGATGAAGCAGCCTCAGCTAGGTGGACCAGCCAAGCGACAGGCTGACCTAGGCAAGCCATAGCTGCAGCAAGTTGGCCAGGAGGTTCCAGGCAAGGACCAGGAGCAACTTCCACCTGTTAGCAATGAGAAGAAAATGAAATCCACACCTCCTCCTGGTCCAAGGACAGGTAGAGCAGAGAGGAGACAGTCCCAATGCCAGTCAACTAGACTACTCTCGAGAAGGCAACCTCCTAAACGAGAGACTGCACAATCCTGAACTGAATGGAGATGTAGGAGATGGCCAGGCTGAGCCTGAGGGAGAGGTCAAACGTGTCATAAGTCTCAAGCCCCTGCGCACCCACAAGAGATCTAAATCCAGCCCACCGTGAATTCCTTTGACTCTTATCTACCGGTAGTTTACTTTGACCGCTAGTAGTTCAGATTCTTGTAGAGAGCTTAAGCTTGCAATAAATATTTATACTCATTTGAACTGCCTGGATTTTCTAATTTTCCTGGGGCTTGGCAGGAGGAGGAGGAAGCAAAAGGTTCAAGGTAGACACACTCTAGAATCTCCCAGGGTATATCTATGAGGCTAGAAGATTGTAGCTTTAATCTGGTGAGATCCTGCCTATTAGGTCTAAGCAAAGAAGGACCTAATCTCCATTGGACTGACATTGACATGCCGAATCGAGAACTTAGTGTTAACCAGCACTTCCCCTGAGAAGACTGCAATACAATTTTGCAGTGTCCCTGTTGAACTGAGGGTGGACAGTGCCTTCTTGTTGAGAGGAAGGAAGAACATGTCCTAACGTTTGATGTCCCATCCTGAAGCAACAATATCGGTACGCTTGGCCCCCATTTGTTGCTCCAGCATTTTCTGACTGTTCTGAGTGATGAATTTCTATACTTCTGCCAGAGTGGCCTCCGTGCTTGTGAAAAACTCACAAGGCAAGGAAGAGGTTGGTTGTTTTTGGCTTTTGGCTATTGTCTAGCAAAGGGAGAGCTGGCTAGTTGCATGAAGATGGAAGACCATTGTGGAGCAAATGACTGCTGACGGTTTTGAAGGTATAACTGGTAGCTGTATGAAAGAGGTTTATTTGACTTTGCAGGAACCTAGTTTTGGAATACATCGTTCCAAATGTCTGTTCAGGTGTGTGTGTAAGGGGGGGGGAAATGAGCTGGCAAAATTAAAAGTCTTTTGTAATCTCCTTTTTCTATGGCTTTGAAAAATGGGCAGGCAGTTAATCTCGCCAGTGGGCTAATTTACAGCCACCTTCATCTAATGTTGACTTAGAAGAAAGTCAAACAGAGTTACATGAGAAATGGCTGTCGCCTTAAAATGAAAGTGGAGTTTCAAGGGGGCGGAGTGGAGGAAATAGTCATTTTTTACTAGAAATAATAATAATAATCCTCCTCACTTCTCCCCCCCCCCCAGAACTGTCTTGCAGATTCTGGTGACTTCCGTGCCCAGCAATGCTCAGCCTACAATGATGTCAAGTACCAAGGACACTTTTATGAATGGATCCCCGTCTTTGATGACTCCAGTTCTCCATGTGCCTTGAAGTGCCAAGCGCTAGGGAGACCTTTGACCATAGAGTTTGCTCCCAAAGTTCTGGATGGCACCCGCTGCAATGCCAAGTCCTTGGATATGTGCATCGGTGGAATATGTCAGGTATGGCAGTTCTTGCATTTCAGTTTCCAGCAGCGTCTGTAAAAGTAGTTAGCAAAAATGAAGATGGTAACCGTGACACAAATCAAGGCCCTATCTGGACTTTTTTTTTTATGACAAGAATACATTTGTATTTATCCCTAAGTTAGAAAAGGGAAAACTTAATAGTTTGTTGAACTTTTGTTACGCACACATAATCACACAGACACAGAATAACTTTGGCTGCTGCTCAAAAGAGAGGTTATTTCTTGTTATGACCAGGAGACAGAATTGTACATCTGACACTCTTTGGTGAATTGCAAGAATGCAAATATTTAGACTGATCTGTTTCTAGCCATCCTGGCATTTAATGAGAATATATTTGGATTTCTTGGGTTTTAGCTGTTGGGGAAACCTCTTTGTCTGGGAGCCCTTGAAGACAACCAGTGGTATCCCCTCAAATGCAAATCAACATTAATGTGGCAGCAACTCTTTATTGGCTGCAATCAAAGTTACATTTGGGATACATTTGTGTACCATTTTGGATTCTTGGAAAACCAAAGTATTTAGTTTACGTGACTAAATTCCCATCTAGAACCCACCTTCAGGGTTAGCCTGCCTGCCTTCCTTCCTTCCTTCCTTCCTTCCTTCCTTCCTTCCTTCCTTCCTTCCTTCCTTCCTTCCTTCCTTCCTTCCTTCCTTCCTTCCTTCCTCCTTCTCTCCCTCCCTCCCTCCGTCCCTCATAAAACCCCATATAATTTTGATTTTAATATCTAACATCTAGTTCTTCTGCTTAGCACAAATACTCTCCTCCTCCCAGTAGGCCTGGAGAATTGATGGCTGCAACATTTGTATAATAAAATGTGCAAAGGCCATGAGGGAGTAGCTAGCTTGTTCAATGACCCATTTAACCAGAAAGTTAATGGAAAAATAAAGGTGCTAAAGTGTAGTTTCATTTCTTTCTGTGTGGAATTCCTTCTGGGAGAGGCCCCTGGACTTACACTTGACTCTAAAATAAGTGTGTTCATAGAACTGATGAATGAGCAGCAAAAGGCGTCTGCATATTGAAGATAATTCAAGTTTCCTCAAGAATCTCATGTCAAAAATAGATTTAAAATTTATGGAGGCTACAATAGCTCCCACAGGGGAGAAGGAAGGGAGAGCAATATTTTTAGCAGAATGTGGCTAGAATTGGACCTTTGATCCAAGGTCATACAATTTTCTCCCAAGCTTGCTTGCTCTTCTGCTAAAATCTGCTCCCTGTTTACCCAGCCACATAGTTTTCACTAGATTGTTGAGCCTGTGCACTATTAATTATGACAAGTAGATTGTTTGATACGTAATGGGCTGCATCAGATTACGAAGCTTTCTTCCCCTGTCTCTAAGGTGACACCCCACCTCATTCGCTGTCACTTCTCAGGATATGAGAATTGACTTTCTATCACATTACATGGCGGCTTATCTTTTTGCTTCACATTATGGCAAGATAATAATTTATGTAGCAAATCCAAAGCAAGCCTACACCATTCTTGACATTTTCTCTGGATTTGTTCAGCCAATCCCCAGAAGAAATGGATAAAGAATAAAAACAAGCTAGGCTTTTGAACTATAGTGCTGGAGAAGACTCCTGCGAGTCCCCTGGACTGCAAGGCGATCAAACTGGTCAGTCCTAGAGGAGATCAACCGTGACTGCTCTTTAGAAGGCCAGATCCTGAAGTTGAAACTCAAGTACTTTGGCCACTTAATGAGAAGGAAGGACTCACTGGAGAAGAGCCTAATGCTGGGAAAGATTGAGGGCAATAGAAGAATGGGATGATCGAGAAGGAGGTGGCTGGATGGAGTCACTGAAGCAATAGGCCTGAACTTAAATGGACTCCAGAAGATGGTAGAGGACAGGAAGACCTGGAGGAACGTTGTCCATGGGGTCGCAATGGGTCAGACATGACTTCGCAACTAATAACAACAAAGGAGTAATCCGGATTCTGGCTTCAGACCTAAGGGTAAACTACATTTAAAACAAAGCAGGAGTAATAATTTCCAGTTATACGATTTGTTGGTGAAAAATAAACTGTGTTTTTCTATTATGAGCTGCCATATTGCAGCAAGCCAACCAAATCAGCCACTTTAGGCTGTAGCGTTTTGTGCCAACCAAATCTCTTGTAGCCAAGACTCCTCTCTGATTAGCAGTAGCTGTGAAGAAATATGGGCAGTTATTTTCCTGACCACTTGCTCAAGGACTGCCAGGCACAAGGAACCAGAAACAATACAATGAGCTGATCAGAGTGGTACGTTTACGGTTGTCCATCTATAAGCAGGAGTCCCACCGGACTAAAGTGCTCATATTAGATAAATTCTGCAAAGTTTTAAGGAGGGTCACTGTAGATGACCAGGCTAAGCCCAAGGGAAGGGTCAGGCATGTCATAAGTCTCGAATCCTTTCGTGCCCACAAGAGATCTAATTCCAGCCCACCTTGAATTCCATTGACTCTTATCTACTACCAATTTGCTTTGACCGTTAATAGTTCAGATTCTTGTGGAGCAGGGATCTTCAAACTTGGCCCTTTTATGACTTGTGGACTTCAACTCCCAGAATTCTTCAGCCAGCCTGCCTGGCTGAGGAATTCTGGGAGTTGAAGTCCACAAGTCATAAAAGGGCCAAGTTAGAAGACCCCTGTTGTAGAGAGTGCTAGCATGCAATAAACCTATATTCACTTGAACCGCCTTGACTCCTAAAGTCTTCCACTTGACGATCTCGCTTCAGCCACTACCTCCCCAGAAGCAATGCTAGGCTAGTTAGTAGTTTCACTCCTCCCCTTGACTCGGTGCCAAGTTCCACCACAAGGTCCTTTTCACTAGATTGAACCAAGAATCTTCTACCTGCAAGATAGATTGTCAAGAACTCACCTTTGGCTCAAATTCTACAGGGAAATGGCTACATCTCCCAGATCAGGACCACAAGATCCAGGACTCAAGACCATAAAATCTGGGATTTTGAGCTCCAGCCTATCTAGATAAATCTGTACTTTCATAGCCTGCATCTTCTAAGCAATTGATCTTCCCAGTCTCTGAACTGTAATCCTCTGTAAATCTGAAATTGCATTCTATGGGGACTGAAAGAAAGGCAAGGAATACAACATTCTGTGTTAAAGTCCTGTCTCTTTAAGGGCTTTCACTCTGGAAAGAAGAGTCTTGGAAGAAGAGGACTTCAATCTAGGAAAAATTCTGGCTTCAGATTTGGGTGGGGAGCAGGTCAATGAAGCTTCCCATGTTGCTATTGTATTCCATCGATGTCTTGTCAAGACCTAGAGAAGACTCACATACCATATTACCAAATGGTGGGTCCTTCCCTTAATCTCTTTCCTTCCACACTGCTTTTTAATTCAGTTGTTTGCAGTGATCCATGTTATTTTATGTGCATCCGTGAGAGAAAATTTGGAACATCATTTTCAAATAATCATGTGGGTCCCTTTAAGGATGAGTTGAAACTGTACTCAGGAGAATGTTGTCCCAGGACCCACTATGAAAAATAGGCGAAGAAAGATCCAAGGGTTTTCAGATAAAGGGAAAACATATTTTATTCACGCCCAGAGCCATATCTGAAGACAAGCAATAAATTTAGCAAAGCTTGGATTACAGAGATATCCCAGCCTGGATTTACTTTGCTAGCAGTGAACCAGTTTTGAAACACACAATGTAAAATTATCCACACATATAGATTAAAAAAATGGGGATAAAGGTTCGCTTTGAGTTTCCCAACCTCAAAGGTGCCCCTTAACTAATATGACTCTCCCACCTTTTTTTAAAAAAAAAAAATACAGGAATAATTTTACCTAGCATGTGCATGGTTTTGCAATTAGCCTTCTTTTTGGCAAAGTAGCTACTACCATTCTATTAAACGCTTGAACGTGAGCAATTCAAAAAAAAACCTTTTGACATGGTTGATGAGAAGAGTAGGTGTATACTCAGGGAAAAAGTGAGACATTTGGCAAAAATATAGCCCTGGGATTACGACAATCTTACGGTGCACTGCCCTGGATTTTATGTGATTTTAATGGAGTTTTCATTCCTACCTACAATTACTCCAACACATAACAGTGTAGCCACCTTGGTTAAAAACAAACACACCACACCTAAGAAAATGGCTCTCTCTCTGCCATTTTTCTTCTGTCATGGGGGAAAAAAATCTGTATCTGGAATTGACAAGTTCTGCTTCATTAATATTTACTGCTATATTTTTAGTATATTCCCTAGAAGGGAAGGGCGAAATGTTTAATGCTGTCTGAGCATCAGTCTCTAGTATTTCAACTGTGTGTGTGTGTGTATGTGTAAGTAGGGTTTTTTTATATACTTTTAGAGTTTAGCAATAGCTTTTAGACCTTGTTTTATTGGGAATTATTATTTAACCTTATTTGTACAGTATTAGAAAGCCAACGGAAGAACATATTTGTAGCTCAGGGTTGACTTACACCACACCAACAATCAAGCAGTAAAAAATACCCCATGATCAACTTAGACAAACAACTCAACAGTAAACAACAACCTTATCAAGGAGCCACCAAGAACACCCCTGCCATTCAGGGTCACCTGAGCAGTGAGACATCTTGGACACACAGGTAAACTTCTAAATGACCTCAAGAATGCAAATAACCAGCTGTCTGCAAGGAGTATAAATCCTTCCATTCCCCACCATCCAGTCAGAGCTGAAGAAGCTTCTTGGATGAGAAGCGAAACATTTTTGAAGAAAAACAAGAAAGTCCACTTGCCTCCTGAAAAAGCACCTTTGGGATTCTTTTAGAGAGTCATTGAGGCCACTTGGAGGTTTAGGACTGTGTAGACTACAGCTGCTGAAAGGACTGTGTTGTAGACTACAATACAGTCCTTTCAGCAGTTCCAAGAAGGTTCCACACCCATTTGCATCACTCAGGTGACTTTGAGGACACAGATAAAGTGTCCAAGTGGCCTCAACAATTCTCTAAAAGAAGGCAAATAACCAGCTGTCTGCAAGGAGTATAAATCCTTCCATTC